ATGCACACATAACATATTATCACACCAATATCACAAATAACATAATAATCACCCAATAAAATAAAAGACTTCACACAATAATGGGAAATCGGAATCGGGGCGTTACAAGAATCGGATATCAAGCTATTGAATTAACTTGAATCACAAATCATGAAGTTCACCATCAAGATTTGATTTATCCAAAGGAAAGGGTAAAGATCGAAGAAAACCCTAAGTGTGTTATGTAACAACATAGTTAAGAGATGTAAGGTTCGGGGGTTTATTATATCTAGGAAAAGTGTTAGCATCATAAGTATTTGTAGTACTCTACAAGAATCTCTTGTTAGTATTTATGTTATGCTAAAGTTGCTTGCTAAAGGGATTGTGCTAAGGTAAAGATCTAAAGTATATACAGAGTATGTTCGCCAAGACATCGCATCTCGTGCCTACGTATCCTGACGGAAATAGAATCAGAGCAATCGTAGTTCGCCTCAAAAGGGGCGAGGAACTCTTAACTGTGGTCAATGTTCTAAATGAAAAAGTAAATGTCTGCGATGAGACACCTACATAGAGTGCGGTGATTCTGAACCTAAGGTTAGGTTAAACAGAAAAAGGAAATGGTGAAAAAGAAAAGAAGAGTGAAAAAAAAGGAGTGTGAAAAAAGAAAAGGTTGTTCGCCAAGGATTGGGGTCTTGTGCCTACGTATTCTCAAGCGGAACTTGAGAAATCAGAGCATCTGTAGTTCGTGGTACTACAGGATGTCAAGTTCTAAGAACCGAGAACAACAAAGACAAGTAAAGAACAAACAAGGGACATGCATAATGACGATAAGTCAACATACAGTTTCTTCCCTTAGATTAAGTCAACAAGGAATAGAAAGCAGCAGAAATATGGAAGAACATCACGTAAATGGCAAGCGAGAAATACACAGACACAATACACAGAAAAATATCATGTATGTTCAGACAGGTAACATATCACAGAAAACGCATGGAAAAACATCACAGTAATCAGGCAGTGAAAAGTCAACAGAAATACATGGAAAAACATCATATAATCAGTAGACAAAAGTATGCGGCAAAGCATCGCGAGTAACAAATAACAGGTACGCGGAAGAGCATCACGTAGTAATTAAACAGAGATACGCGACAAATTATCGCGAATAAATAAAGAAAAAATACACGGCAAAGCATCGTGAATAAAACCCACAGGCAATCACGAAAAAGTATCGTGTAAAGCAACAAATAGTCACGACAAAATATCGTGGTAAACTAACAGACATTCGCGGCAAAGCATCGCAAAATAAAACATAGAGAATAAACAATCACGAAAATGCATCATGTAACACGGAGAGAAAAATACAATCACAGAAAAATATCATAACAAAATATTAATAGTCGAAGAAAATCAAAAGAATTTAATCGAGAGAACAAACAAGTCTCTAATAAAATCGAATGACAAAGAAGAATTAATAATTAATTTAAATATTAATATCTAATAAGATTCACTAATAATTTAATTAATTAAATTAAATAAGAATATTTATATTAAGTTATTAACTAATAATTACAATATATATATATATATATATATATATATATATATATATATATATATATATATATATATATATATATATATATATATATATTTATTTATTTATTTATTTATTTATTTTACATTTTAAATATAATTTAAATCAATTACTAAAAACTAAAAAAAGAATTAAACAAACAAATTTGAACTAAAACTAATGTATATGCATATATAAAAACCCATGTTAAACACTAGGAATATAAAATCTGAACTAACCAAAACATTCGCATACACACCGTAGGTTTTAACAAAGGAAACCGTTAGTTGCAAGGAAAACAAAGTAAAATAAATTAATAAAAATAATAAAAGTAGTATACATTATGCATGCTTATATAGTGTAAACATATCCTTTCTGTTTAAACTAACACCAATATGTACAAAATAATATGTTAATAAAATAAGCAAAACAAAGTCAACTAACATCACTATATAATATATATATATATATATATATATATATATATATATATATATATATATATATATATATATATATATATATATATATATAATGGCATGCATTAATTATATAAAGTATTCAAATAAATAGATAAAAACAGGAACTAATTTATTTTGAATTTAATAAATGAACAAAAAATAAATAAGTAAAAAAATGCATAAAGATAGATACGATAAAAATTAAGTTTTTTTTCTTCAATTTTAACTGTATAAACATAACAACTTTGCAGAGAGTGATGCTGAAAAAAAACAGCGCATTGATGTTTTCGATGTGCTCGTCAAGGTCAGTTGTTCCTCCATACGTGCCTAAAAAAGGGGGTTTCTCTCGTCTTTTTGGGAGGCGCATGGCTATGATTTCCTGGGATAACGAGCCGCGAGGCTCGTCGTCGCTGCTGCTGTCGGTCCAGGATGGAGAACCTGCGTTACGTCCGTAGGTAGGACGGTGGCCGCGTCACAGAAACGGAGTTTGTGCTCGGCCTCTGGGTCTGGGCGGTGAGCATGGAGACTCCACCATGTTTTCCTTTATATATCTTTCTATTCAATTTCTTTCCTTCACAATTCCTATCTAAAACATCTACTAATTTAATAAATAATCACCCAATTATTAAATAAACCCCATAATTCATTTAATTAATTTAAGTAATTAATTACTAAAAATTAGACTGTTACACCTTCAGCATCAGTCTTGCTGATGGGGAGGAAAGCAAAGTTGTGAGCATTAAGATTATTGTCATGGGCAACCATGATCAGAAAGTTGAAGAATTGTTTTGGTCTTGTGTCTACGAAAGGAGAAAAGACGGGGATGACAAGTTTTCCACAAACGGCGCCACTGATCTTACCGAATGATCAGAATTTGAGATAGACTGAAGACGAACGTCTGTGATGCTGGGTGTGAAAGAGGAGGAGGGGGTGTACACGCAAGGCACTCCGATGCTAAAGTAAGAAACGAGTAAGAGAGCGAGCAAGTACAAAATATGTGTTTATAGGTAAGAAATTGGATACCTGACCCTCTCAAGTGAGAGGATTTTTATAATGCCCCCAACGCTTGGCCATTGATCCCTATTTTTGGGACGACATAATCGTTTCCCCAAGAATAGGTAACTGCCAGAAATATTCGTTGGGACGGACAAACGTGCCTATAATTAGCTGTTATGACGAGCAGGGGTACAGTCACGGACACAAGCATCTTGGTTGTTTTTGGATGGTTGAACCGTGCGTGACAGGCAGAGACTAACGGGAAGGAGCGATGTGACAAAGGGTAAATAGGTCAGTCTCCCATGTTGGAGGGGCAGAAAGGTAAACTTTCCCGGTGATTGGGTCGTTCTGGACGCAGAAGTGGATTAGGCCATGCCCAGCTGTTGGGCTAGTCCGGAACAACTATTCTCCTTTTTCCATTAGAAGTTTTCATCTAAATTGAAATCGAAGTCGCTGCTATCATCATTTGAATAATCATCACTATTATCAACGTCTAAATTTGGAACATCAAATGCAATCATGATTGCTGCTAGCGTGAGCTTTGCAACTTCAACCTCACCTTCGAATTCATATGAAAACTACAACAAAGACAATGAAATCGACATAAACACACACCTTAATCATGTCTGTCAGCGATCCAATCAAACGATTGAAAACTCATAGCACATAAAAACATACAAATGATAAGGAACACACATACTTGCCAAATAATAAAGAGATAAGTGAAATATTTTTTCCGTTTTACCCGCTCTAATGCATGATAATGACCTATCAACAAAAATCCTATCTCCTTTTATATTAGTCTTTCTTCGATTTACTAGACCCAGATTTTAAATTATTATTTTTTTTACTAAAGACCAATTAAATTTACTTAATATATTACTCTTTCTTCAAATTTTTCATTTAGAAATCGTTTTCTTACTATTATAAATTTCTTACTTAATTAGTATCCCATGTTACAAATATTATTCTACAAATTTATTTTTTTATATATCTTAAATAATATATCCATGCGTAGAAAATAATGATAATGTAGTTATTCTTAAAACTTCTTCTTTTTTTTATTTACTAACTTTAATTTATAACTGTTGAAAAAGTACATGTATGAAATTATAACTCACATTTTTTTTGAAGCAAAATAATTTTTTATTTTAAAAAATTATATAAAAAAAAAAACATTTGCTTAATTATGTGATGTATACTTGGTGTCAAAATAGCATTTGTGAAAACATATATAGGCTAGCCCGGGAAGGAAGGAACTGAGGGAGTTCTGCTCAACTCTCCCGATCGCAATTTCACTTCAAATTCTTTTTCCATCAACCGCGGTCTATTCATTCAATTCACTCGATCCTTTTCAAAAATTACCATCATTGAATCCATTCATATATTTCATCAATCTAGGGTTTCTAGATTCTATTTCAGAGTTAGGGTTTCTCACTCTAGACACCATTAGAGTAGAAACCCTCATTCAATTCATACTACAAAATTTCTAGGTTTTTTCTCCAAAGTTGCGGTAACAGAATCAGTTTAGACTTTATCATCTCACCCAGAAAAACAAGGTAACTATCTGTCGTTTTGGTTTATCCTTGAAGTTTTCTGAATGTTCTATGTAAATCTGGCATCTTTATTTGTGGGTATTTCTTTTTATATTTTAATTTTTTTTTCATTTTTATTGAAAAAGTCAATGATATGTTCCTGTGGACCATTATTTTGAACTGGAGTTATCACAATGTTGGGTGTGAATTGTACTAATGGATTCAATATCTCATGCCGTTTTCGTCAATTAGCTCAATGGCACCCTTTAGAGTAGCAGCAGCTTGATTAGGGCTTCAAGCCCACTTCCTCTGAAATCAAGTAAGAATATTATTTATTACGCATTCCATTTCGATTTCATAATGCTACAAAATTGAATATATTATGAAGTATTTTTTGACAGATCTTTAATTTATTTCCTGGGAGATTTTTAAATCAACTTAAGATCTAAGCTAAAGATGTTTGATAAGACTTTAAGTTATCTGAAAGCTATGTGGTGTTTTAACTGCTTCGGGTTTATCAAGAGACGGAACCCGCAGAAGGTTAAGCCTGCCATCTACCATAGCACTCTCTCCCAAGAGCTGTTGTTGGATGATGATGATGATTTTGACGATGAAGAGTCTTTCTGTAATGATGAGGTTACTAGCACCACCAGTGGAGATGATAGTGAGGAGCAAAGTCGTCCTAAGCGATCAGAGGATATTTTGGTTTTTAGAGTAGAGAATGGTATGATTTGTAGACAGTTTCCTGTTAAAGAGACTGACAAAGTTTTTCGTACAGAGGTAATTGGGACGAAAACTTATTCCTATATATAAGTTTATTTGTGTTTTTTTTTTTTTAATTAATGATGTTGTATGTTATATGTCTTTACTTATCTGAATGGTTATTTATTTAATAATTGTGTTCAGGATGAAAATGGAAACAAGATGATAAATGAGTATGTTCGTGAGTGTAAGATCGGTTCGGGTAGCTATGGGAAAGTGGTAAGCATAGTATTAATTTTATGCTCTTTCTCTATCTCAAGGAAAACAGTTCACTTGACCCTCTTTCCTTGAATGCCTGGCAGTCTCTTCATCGAAGCTCGGTTGATGGAAAACACTATGCAATTAAGGTAAGATATTTTTTTCTTAAAGTTTGGAAAGATAGATTAGTTTATGATACGAAATATGGCCATTACAGGGTTGTATTGAGTAATATGTTTTGAATTTTTTTATTGCTGTTAATGCCTTAATGATGCAATTGCTTATTTATTGAGCTGAAAATATTCTGAAAATAGGCCTTTCACAAGTCCCATTTACGGAAGCTTCGAGTTGGACCCTCAGAAACTGCCATGACTGATGTTCTACGTGAGGTATATTTCTTCAATATATATTTGAGTTTTTCATAGTTTGGATTGATAGATGAAATATGATTCAAATATGCATGCCAAATTTTGTTAAATGTATTGGTTATTCCTTGACATTTACAAATTTAGAAAGTCCTCATATTCTTTCTTTGACAAATTTTTACATTCTAATTTTAAAGGAAATTCTCTTTCCAAGGATTTACATCTTATTTTGCTTCCTAGTTTGTGTGTTTAAATGATGTATATTGCATTTTCTAATTTGATTGTTCTAGCTGTTGTGCTACTGTCCCTTGTCCCTGTAGTTGGTTAAAAAACATACTTTCTTTTCAGGTTTTCATAATGAAAATGATCCAACATCCTAATATAGTCAATCTCATTGAGGTGATTGATGACCCAGAATCGGATCACTTCTACATGGGTACTGATGGCTAGTTTTAGTTTCTTGGTTTTGTTATTTAATTATTGCCTGCTAATCGAATGAGAATCTGAATCTCCTTTTGGTTCTAAGTTTGACTTGCTGATTTATTTTTATTTTTTTCCGAATACAGTACTTGAATATGTCGAGGACAAATGGGTTTGTGAGGGTTCAGGTCGAGCTTGTAGCTTAGGTGAAGAGACTGCTAGGAGATACTTGCGGGACATCGTTTCTGGATTAATGTATCTCCATGCTCATGTAATGTTGACCAAGTTTCTCTCTCACACTCATGCACGCTTACACAAATGTATCATCATGCAGTATTAAACAACTTGCGAAACATCATACTGTTTATGTTTAATGCTCATACTTAGTCTTAAAATGCTTTGAATTATTTTTTGGTCATGTTACTAAAATGTTTAACAATAGTTTTATTTGAAAAACAGAATATAGTTCACGGGGATATCAAGCCTGATAATCTGTTGATTACTCGTCATGGTACAGTAAAGATAGGGGATTTCAGTGTCAGCCAGGCTTTTGAGGTAATATGCAACTACTGAGCCTGAATGTTAATTTAAATACATTAAATAAAACCAAGCTATCACTTTACTTGGACAGTAGTGTAATATGATTTTTACCCCGCGTTCGGAAAATAAGAAATATGATTACTCGGATGATATGGAACTATGCAAGCTGATTGGTGCACTCTGATAATACCTGAAATGAAACACCTTGCAGTGTTTTTGATAACATGTTGGTAATATTCGTAGGCATTAGGATGTTCTGTAAACTAATATGGAGCCTGTATTGTTTCCATTTTGCAGGATGATAATGATGTGCTTCGGCGATCACCTGGAACTCCTGTGTTTACTGCACCTGAATGTATTTTAGGTTTGTGTTTTCAAATTTTTCATTTTATGCTTGTAAAATACTTTTGGGCAAATGTGTTTGTGAAATGTAGGTTCTCACTATGGTTTCTGTTGATATTTTTTAGGTCTTACCTACCGAGGTAAAGCCTCGGACACATGGGCCGTAGGAATTACTTTATACTGTATGATATTAGGCGAATACCCTTTTCTTGGTGACACACTTCAAGATACATATGACAGAGTAAGAAATTTAATTGTCTTTCTATTTTTGTTTTCATCATATGCTTTTGTTGTTTATGAACTGTTTTGCTTTTTTTCTCTTGAAATCTATTTTTATCACCTTCCTTAAAAAAAAAACCTAAAATTGGGAGGAACATGGTATTTGGTAATAATTATATGGAAAGTGTATCAACTAGAAAAGCAAACAAGAATTCAGACAAACCAAACACACACCCATCTAAGTTTCATAATCTACAAGGCCTTCATGTTACCCTTTTTCTTAATCCAGTTTCATAATATATTACCAGGCCTTCATGTTACTTTTTTTCGTAATGCAGATAGTCAATAATCCAATAGTGCTTCCAAAGGATCTGAATCCGCGGTTGAAGAATTTAATCGAAGGACTACTTTCCAAAGGTAAATGACATTCAATGTTTTGGCAAATTACCTGACAAAGTTCAAAGTTCTTCCGGGGAGAGTATAAAGTTAGCCATTTTTGTTATTTTAATTTATAATAATAATTGAGATTTGAAATCTGCAGACCCAAAGCAAAGGATGACGCTGGCTGATGTCGCGGCTGATAGCTGGGTTATTGGAAATGACGGGCCAATTCCTGAGTACCTGTGTTGGTGCAAAAGGAAGAACTCGGAGAGGAAAGACAGCGATGAGAGCTAGCAGTATGCTTCCATGACATTTACTGACTAAATTTGATACTGGGCTGCATTTGTATATGTAGAGTGGAAACCTCTGATATTGTTTTTCTCATTCTGACTGTACAGTGGAATGATATGATTATAGAGGTAGGCTTGAAGGAAGGTTAATCTTTGAGAAATATGCCTCATGTTTGTGGAAATAATTACAGGTTTTTTTTTTTTGAAATATTTGAGGTTTTGTACTACAAGCTTCTGCTTATAGTCATATAGATTACATAATCTTTGTTGAGTCCTAGAGTGATATGAATTTCATTGAGTTTGTTGAGTCCTAGGAATGTAGTTCAAATATACATGTTTTGATCACAACTGAAAACAGAGTTGAAATTAACTTTTCACATTCTCTAGGTTTGGCAAAACACTTCTATTTATTTATCTTTTATATAATGTTCTTTTTAAATATAACATGCTGTCATCATTGTCATTTTTAAATATTATTAACATTTTTTTAGAGAACATGTTAAAAAGTTCTATTAGAAGAATTCATATCCTTTTACAAACTACTGGAATAATGATATAAAAACTTCAGTGTAGTTGACTTATATTGACTTTTTAATTTAGATGAGAATTCTTTTTTGTTTGTTTTAAATAAAAATTCAAGACGTTTATGAACATTTCAATCTACTAGAATATTTCTCTTCAAATAATAAAATGTATTCCAAATGAGTTATAAATATTGATTTTTTATATTTAATTTTGTATTTACTTATTTTTGAATTATATGTTTTAGAATTAAATTTGTTCAAATTTTATCTCATTTTATAATTCAATCTGGATTCAATTTTTCTTCATAATTTACTCTTTTTAACAAAATTTTAAGTGTATCTACATTAAATTTTTTCTATTTTTTAAAAAGTTTTTATGCTTCCTTTGTCTTATAAAGGTAAGAATGTGAAAAGTGTTTTTAGGGTCTGTTTGATTGGGGGGTTTTGGAGGGGAGGGGAAGAAATATTTTAAAACATGTGTGTTTGGTTTAAGTTTTTATGATGGGAGGAGAGGAGATTGGAGGTAATCAGAATCTTGTTTAGAACACTGGTTTGTTTCTCGAATTGGAAATTTTCGGAGGGGAGGAGAGGGAGAAGAGTTATGATAAAATTTATTTTTATTATATTGACAAAATTACCCTCACTATTGTTTAATAAAATTTTAAATTGTCTTTATTAATATTATTATACCTTAATTTTTGTCCCCTTATTATAATTTTTCTATTTTTTTAACGACAACTCCATTATTTTTATTATTATTATTCAACTTTTTATCTATATGTTTTATTCTATTCTATTTATTTTTGTTTAATATTTTGTTTGTAATAACTTGATTGTTTTATAAGTTATTGTATTGTATTACATATCAATATATAATTGTAGTATGAGTTATATATTATGTAGAATTTAATTTTATAAATATGTTAAAGGAAGAATTTAATTTTATAAATATGTTAAAGAATTAAAGGATTATCAAGATGACAAAATAATTCATATGATCATTGATCATATAATAAGATTTTACGACGTTCATCAATATTTTAGAGTATTTTAAATGTTCAATATTTTGTCTTAGTTTATCTATGTTTTTTTTTTATGAATTAACAAAAAAAAAATTGGTGAATACTATTTAAAAAAAATAATTATTTCGCATGAGTGTTATAATATTTTAAAAGTAAAAAGGTAAATTAATTTAAAACTCTTCTCCTCCCTCTGTGAACCAAACATATGTTTTAATAAAACATTTATCTCCCTCTTTTATGAACCAAATATAGGTTTAATTAAAATACATCTCCTCATCTTTCTCCTCCCTCCTTTATTAAAATTCCTCATTTTCCCTTCTCTCCGTTGATCCAAACGGATCCTTAAAGTGAGGAAAAAGTAAGATGATTTTAAATAAATTTAATAGAAAGTAAAGTGAGAAAAAAGAAAGTTGTAATTATTATTAAATTATATTAATACCCTTGTAAACAAGTAATTAAAATATAAAATTCATCAATGTTTAACTATAACTCGTTAATAAATTTATGGCAAAACTACTGTCTAGGTCCTAATTTATTTTAAAATATCAAGTTAGTCTCTTAAATTTTCTTTTGTAACGCTTTGGTATTTTTTAAAAAATCTTCGTTATAATAAATTACAAACTCATATATCATTTAAACTGATTTTCGCGCTGATCACGAATATGAAATTAGTTTTTCGTTTGATTGTATATTTCGGTCGAATCGTTGATTTTTCACCATGTATTTTGTCCATTTTTACCTAACTCTCGTGAACCATGACTTGTTTGATATTTAATTGTATATTCGTGATCAGCGCGAAAACCAGTTCAGATGGTATATGAGTTTGCAATTTATTGTAACGGGGATTTTTAAAAAGAGACTAAAGTATTACAAAAAAAACTTAAGAGACTAATTTGATATTTTAAAATAAATTAAAGGACTAAAACAGTAGTTTTGTCTAAATTTATTTAAAAAATAGTGTTGAAAAATATATAATAGTGTCCAGTGTGAGATCCACTCTCTTTTTTTTCTCTTAAAATCAATTGTACCAAAACTTAACTTACTCTCTTTTCAACTAAGTATAGTATTACTTGAGTTATTGAATAATTTATGTATTTGATTTATTTGTTAGATATATTAATTATTTAATTAATTCAAAATATAATTTTGTTTATAAATAAGATTAGAGGAAGTATTAGACATATTATCATATCAACAAATTTAAATCAGCTAGTCTAAATATATTAAAAAAAACATTATTATGTTTATGAAACAGGACTTCATATACTGCTTTGTATTTAATAGTCTCCCTAACATATGTAAATTCGCTTATGTGACATTAAAAATATTAAATCGATGTAGAATTAAAAAATTAAGTAGTTTATGTGGCATAAGTACATTGATATTAAGTTTTTTTTTCTTCTTTAAATATGTTTTTTCTAATTTTCTTTTCTACAATTTTTTCTCTCTCTTTTTAATTAGTTAAGCTTTAGATATAATATATTGGAAATCTTAAATAGTTCATTTAAGTCTAATAAAAAATTGCTTTAATTTACTTTAATGACAAAAAAGATTGACAACTAGCCAACTAAAATAACATATTTTTTTGATTAAATTCTACAATGTCAAAATAAAATAAAAAATCTAAGAAAATCTTAGAATAAAGATTATGATTATGATTTTTTTTGTCGATGTTTGAGTGTTTATTTCATCTTTATCTTTCTGCTTCCTCTCTTTTGTGTTGAACTAACTTTTGGAACAACCATTTCAATGGTTGTCTTCCCTGTAGAGGGTATCTTATTATGTCTAAAATTACCACAAGTCTTACATGTTATTTGTCCTCGTACGACTCTCTTCATTCTTTTAGTGTTTGTCTCATTATTGACATTTTTTCTTTGCTTTTTTGGTCTTATTGGAGCTCCTCGTAACAAATGGAGGCTGAAGTGAAAACCCTCAATTCAAATCACCATACCACATTGGACTTAAACTATCAACTTCTTTTTGTGTTTTCTCCAGCCTCTTCCTTTTTAGAAATATTTAAGATTTTCAAGATATTATGTTTGTTTTTTCTGAAATTCAATCGTCACGTCTACCGAAGTCGCACCCAAAATATTGTGACACATCACACCCAAGAAAGATATTCCTTTCCATAGACTAAACCCGCCTAAATAAACTTGACCTTCCAAGCTTCGTGCTTGAGGGACCCGTCCTTCTAGGTCTCGTGCTTTAGGGCTCGCGCGCCCATCTAGATCTTGCACTAAAGGGGTCACGGAGTGAGACAGTTTACACTAATCACAACACCCTTCCAGACCTCATGCTAGAGGGGTTGTGCACTGATAGGTTTTTTCTTATTCAAATCACCCTCCCAAGTCTCGTTCTTGAGGGGCTATAAACTAGAAAAAAGTACATGAACCCTAAAGAAGTCAGCCCATTAATCATCCGACATTGGTCTAACAGTTATTCTCGCCTGACCCAATATTCCTAGCTATGAACGTGTATATCCACATATTAGGCCAGTATCTGAAATCTCCATGTGGATAGCTACCCCTCATATTATATAGGATGATTAGCACCATTCACTCATACTATCTGGTCAAGGTCAGAGAACATGTGGCTGAAATCATAGACGTTTGAGTCAGTCTTCTCAATAACCACCCGAATGATAAACCGAGTATATGAACGCCTCAACCTTGCAATTGAGACATCCATTCACTTTTTCACGTATCAGAAACAAAAAGGCCCTCTCGCGCATCTCATCGCAAACAATGTATTCTCTTACCATAAACACATAAAATATAATGGATTGTTAATGAATTAATTGATTATTTATATCCATTTGTTACAACCCATTATGTCATCCCTAACATCTCTTATAAATCTTGAGTGCTTAACTTATTGATGCTTTATGCGCTTTCTAAACTCCCCTACAAAAACAAATAAAAACCAAAATCAAGGCATTTCATTCTCAACATATTTTTTCTTTCTAAAACTCGAAATGAAAATTGTATGGTTTAAAACAATAATAAACCATAAATAAGCAATCGGATTTATATAGTTCTCCAATTGAGTATTTATGTTTAGTGGCAATAATCAATATGAATTTTTCATATTTTATTTTATAAAAATTGTACTCTCAACCTTTTTGAGAAGTAAGATTGGGAAGATTTATCAAATACAAAGAAAATAAAATATAATGGTTTTGATTTATTTATGTTGGTTTAAGGTGTTTTTTTTAATAAATCGTATTAAGGTAAATTTTGTATACGATATATATTACAAGAGAGTTTAAATTCACCTGAAACACACTTAATACACTAATAGCTCTGTCCCAATTTCAAAATCTAGATTTTGTTCAAGTTTTAGAATCCAAACGCACCACATATTACAAGAAATTCAAGTTCATCTGAAACATATATAATACACAAATAATTTTGTTTAAATTTTAAAAGCCGAACACATCACATATTACAAGAGAACCC